ATATGACAAAATAATAATTTATAAATTATCAAGGGCTCATAAAGGAGTGGAGAGCGGGAAGGGAGGGGAGAAAAATGAGGACCTGCTGCCAGGGTCTTAAGTGGAGGGCAAATGTTTTGAGAATGATGAGGGCAATGAATGTACAAATGTGCTTTACACAGTTGATGTATGTATGAATTGTGGTAATAGTTGTATGAGCCCCTAATAAAATTATTTTTAAAAATGTTAACTCAGTCCCTTATGGGTAAATGTCCAGTCTCTTGAGCTTTATTTTTTTATGCCCCTTTCCCATATCAAAGACAGCATTTGGGTACAAATGGAAGTTTATACATCCTTAAGGTCCTTGAGAGATGGGCTCAATGTCCCATGCCAACCTCTACTGGAATCATTGTGGTGGGGCTGGGCTGGTATTGTTTCTGGGCTTCACTAATTTGTGATCAACTTCCAGATATGTTGTGTACTGTGCAGACATGCTCCAATAAAGTCCCTGCTTTGGACTCTAGTCACAGGGGTCACACATCTGCCATCCTACTCTCAGGAAGACCTCTTCTGACCACTCCCTCCCTCTTCACCACAACCTCCTACATCCTGAGCACTGTCTGTGGGGCAGTGTCCTGCTGTCCCTCCTACCCAGACACCCTTTCTGCCATAACTCCCTGAGATGTCGTCAATTACTTAATATGACCTTTCTAGCTATAATCCCTTTTTATTTATTTTGCCACATGTGTATGTATTTATTAATAATCAGAAATATAGCAGTCTGTGCCAGAAACTTGCTTTGAAAATCAATGACTTGCAAAATAAATGAAAACTGTTTCTGTATATGTAAGTTTGGCATAAGCCTTATATGAGGATTTTGTGGTTCATGTTATGGCTGCTCTTATTTATCATGTGTTCCAGTGCACTGTGTGTGCAGTTTCTCTAGGGCACTATTTCCCAAACTTATTTGGCCTATTGCTCCTTTTTGAGAAAAAAAAATTACTCATTACTCCTTTGCCATGAAAAAGTTTAGCAATTAGAGACTATAGCCCATAATTGAGGATATAGTATAGGTATCTGCTGCTTTGGGGGGCCCCCAGGGCACAGTATTACTCAGTTTGGGAAATACACTCTGGAGCACACATCTAAGTGTGTAATATTTGAATAGTAATGTAATCAAACACTATGCCATCAGCGCTCATAGAAAAGAAGATCAAATATCGACCAGCAGAAACTGAATCACTACTTGTTTGCTTCCCAGCAAGGAGGAAAACCTCAATTTGGAGAGGAGACTCCTTGGGCTTTCATAATTAGAAGAAAGTGGAACGTACATCACTTTTATTGCTTGAAAATAAATGCTATATTGGTATTCTTTACTTCTCCAAATGAGAAACTCAACTTCACAGAAACCTGACTTTCTGAGATCCCTGTAGCCTCTGTGCCCCACCCAGATGAGTTCATTTGCATCCCAGGGATCACTGTGGGCTGGAAGGAAGGAAAGAACACCTTACAGGAAGCCACTTGAGGTCATCTTTAATTAGTGTCTGTGAAGGAACTCAACGTGGCTACGCTTCCCTCTCTGTGTGTGTCTTTTAAAAGTATAAATATCATATGTGTAGATGTTTTACATTAAAAAACATAGATTCCATAATTCATTAAAAATCTTACTTCCTCCTTGTCCCTTAAAAGAAAAAAAAGTTCCCAAGAGTGTTGGGAGAACTCAATTAATTTTAAGTTCATTTGATACTCATAAAACCTATGCCATTGAGTCTATGCCAACTCATTGTGACTCTGTAGATCAGAAGAGAACTGCCCCATAGGGCTTCCAAGGCTATAAAGCTTCACTGAAGCAGATTATCAGAGCTTCCTCTTGAGTAGCTGGTGGGTAGGATTCAACTGCTGACTAGAGGTTAACAGCCTAACCATTATGCCACCCGAACTCTGCCTAAGTGATCAATAGTTAAATACTTGACTAATAACCAGAAGGTTGGCAGTTTGAATCCACCAGCCATAGGGAGAAGGATGTGGCTTTCTGCCTCCATCAATATGTACAGCCTTGGAAACCCTATGGGGGCAATTCTACTGTGTCCTATAAGGTTAATTTGGATTGGAATCTATTTGATGGTGATGGGTTTGGTTTTCCCATTCATAGCTGTGCAATTGAGAAGGAAAGTTGTAGCTGGTTAAAGGAGCTATCTTTGAGCCATTTCTGAGCCTTGACCTTGTTTTTTTTCTTTCGTTTTTGGGTTCCTGGAAACAAACTTAAGGCATACTCTTTTTTTTTT